ACACATTCGAACAAAGCTAATTGAATCAAATGAAAGTCAAACATATTCAAACAAAGCTTTCGAATCAAATGAAAGTCAAATATATTCTACAAAGCTAATTGAATCAAATGAAAGTCAAACACATTCAAACAAAGCTATTTGAATCAAATGAAAGTCAAATACATTCTACAAAGCTAATTGAATCAAATGAAAGTCAAACACATTCAAACAAAGCTATTTGAATCAAATGAGAGTGAAATAAATTCAAACAAAGCTAATTTAATCAAATAAAAGTAAAATACATTCTACAAAGCTAATTGAATCAAATGAAAGTCAAACACATTCAACCAAAGCTTTTTAATTTAAATGAAAGTCAAATACATTCTACAAAGCTAATTGAATCAAATGAAAGTCAAACACATTCAAACAAAGTTATTTGATTCAAATGAAAGTTAAATACATTCTAAAAAGCTAATTGAATTAAATGAAAGTCAAACACATTCAAGCAAAGCTAAATGAATCAAATAAAGTTAAACACATTCAAACAAAGCTAATTGAATCATATGAAAGTCAAACACATTCAAACCAAGCTAATTGAATCAAATGAAAGTCAAACACATTCAATCAAAGCTATTTGAATCAAATGAAAGTCAAATACATTCTACAAAGCTAATTGAATCAAATGAAAGTCAATCACATTCAAACAAAGCTATTTGAATCAAATGAAAGTCAAACACATTCAAACAAAGCTAATTGAATCATATGAATGTCAAACAAATTCAAACAAACCTAATTGAATCAAATGAAAATCAAATATATTCAATCAAAGCTATTTGAATCAAATGAAAGTCAAATACATTCTACAAAAGTAATTGAATCAAACGAAAGTTAATCACATTCAAACAAAGCTATTTAAATCAAATGAAAGTCAAACACATTCGAACAAAGCTAATTGAATCAAATGAAAGTCAAACATATTCAAACAAAGCTTTCGAATCAAATGAAAGTCAAATATATTCTACAAAGCTAATTGAATCAAATGAAAGTCAAACACATTCAAACAAAGCTATTTGAATCAAATGAAAGTCAAATACATTCTACAAAGCTAATTGAATCAAATGAAAGTCAAACACATTCAAACAAAGCTATTTGAATCAAATGAGAGTGAAATAAATTCAAACAAAGCTAAGTTAATCAAATAAAAGTAAAATACATTCTACAAAGCTAATTGAATCAAATGAAAGTCAAACACATTCAAACAAAGCTTTTTAATTTAAATGAAAGTCAAATACATTCTACAAAGCTAATCGAATCAAATGAAAGTCAAACACATTCAAACAAAGTTATTTGATTCAAATGAAAGTTAAATACATTCTAAAAAAGCTAATTGAATTAAATGAAAGTTAAACACATTCAAGCAAAGCTAAATGAATCAAATGAAAGTCAATCACATTCAAACAAAGCTATTTGAATCAAATGAAAGTCAAATACATTCTACATAGCTATTTGAATCAAATGAAAGTCAAATACATTCTACAAAGCTATTTGAATCAAATGAGAGTCGAATACATTCAAACAAAGCAAATTAAATCAAATAAGAGTCATATACATTCTACAAAGCTAATTGAATCAAATGAAATTTACACATATTTCAACAAAGCTATTTGAATCAAATGAAAGTCAAACACATTCAATCAAAGCTATTTGAATCAAATGAAAGTCAAATACATTCTACAAAGCTAATTTAATCAAATGAAAGTCAATCACATTCAAACAAAGCTATTTGAATCAAATGAAAGTCAAATACATTCTACAAAGCTATTTGAATCAAATGAAAGTCAAATACATTTTACAAAGTTATTTGAATCAAATGAGAGTCAAACACTTTCAAACAAAGCTAATTGAATCATATGAAAGTCAAATATGTTCTAAAAGCTAATTGAATCAAATGAAAGTCAATCACATTCAAACAAAGCTATTTGAATCAAATGAAAGTCAAATACATTCTGCATAGCTATTTGAATCAAATGAAAGTCAAATACATTCTACAAAGCTATTTGAATCAAATGAGAGTCAAATACATTCAAACAAAGCAAATTAAATCAAATAAGAGTCGAATTCATTCAACAAAGCTAATTGAATCAAATGATAGTTAAACACATTCAAACAAAGCTATTTGAATCAAATGAAAGTGAAATGCATTCTACAAAGCAAATTGAATCAAATGAAATTCAAACACATTCAAACAAAGCTATTTGAATCAAATGAAAGTCAAATTCATTGTACAAATATAATTGAATAAAATGAAAGTCAAACACATTCAAACAAAGCTATTTGAATCAAATGAAAGTCAAATACATTCTACAAAGCTAATTGAATCAAATGAAAGTCAATCACATTCAAACAAAGTTATTTGATTCAAATGAAAGTTAAATACATTCTAAAATGCTAATTGAATTAAATGAAAGTCAAACACATTCAAGCAAAGCTAAATGAATCAAATGAAAGTCAAACACTTTCAAACAAAGCTAATTGAATCATATGAAAATCAAATATATTCTACAAAGCTAATTGAATCAAATGAAAGTCAATCACATTCAAACAAAGCTATTTGAATCAAATGAAAATCAAATACATTCTACATAGCTATTTGAATAAAATGAAAGTCAAATACATTCTACAAAGCTATTTGAATCAAATGAGAGTCGAATACATTCAAACAAAGCAAATTAAATCAAATAAGAGTCATATACATTCTACAAAGCTAATTGAATCAAATGAAATTTACACATATTTCAACAAAGCTATTTGAATCAAATGAAAGTCAAACACATTCAATCAAAGCTATTTGAATCAAATGAAAGTCAAATACATTCTACAAAGCTAATTTAATCAAATGAAAGTCAATCACATTCAAACAAAGCTATTTGAATCAAATGAAAGTCAAATACATTCTACAAAGCTATTTGAATCAAATGAAAGTCAAATACATTTTACAAATGATGTGTAAACAAGATGAGAACCTTGTTACAAAAGTATGTTTTAAGGGGTCTTAGTGAAATCGTGAACAATGAAGGTGAAAATAGGGGAACACTCACCCTAGTTTCGGATATAACAAAGGGGAACACTCACCCTTTGCTTGGTGTAGTTAGGAATAGGGAACACTCAACCCACTCGTTCACTACGCAAGCTCCTAGGTTTGGGAACACTCTACCAAAACTAGCACTCTTCAAATTTGAGCTAACAAACTTGGACCTTAAAAATGACTAGTTACTAAGTCACGTTTAATCAATCAAAACACAAGTGTTTAAGCAAATTTCTGGATACTTTTCATTCATGCATAGCACACTATTTATAGTAGTGTATAAGTTACATAAAGGAACATGGGATTCCTCTTTACAACTTTTAATGATCATCCATCACTTGCCTAATTTAAAAGACAAAATAAGATACTAACTATAAGGTGATTAAAAGGCTCATATAACCGTCCAATTAATCCCTCATAACAACAAAATAAAACTACTCAATTAAGCTTAAAAACTATGCTTAAATTAAAGAGGAAACGTTCAGCAAACATGAAGTCTTCAAAGAGCATCTTCAACGTCCAAGAAACGTGCAAACAGCCCCCTTGAGTCACGCTTGTAACCTCCCATTTAAACCCTTGATTCAAGCTCCTTTATTCCAGCAACAACTCTCTAATTAAGTACAAATAACCCCCAAGTAAAGAGGTAGAATAATCAGCCAACCAATGCCTTAATTCACGCCCAACACAAGCCTTGAATCACGCCTTCATAATCAGTCCAATGTAACTCTCAAATGCATCAATCATGCGTGGCTTCAAGCTTGGAAAAACGACACATTAACTAGATGCCTTCAACAAGATTAGTTACACTAAGAGAAGTGTAACCATTTGTTAAACTCTTTGGACTAAAACCGTGCATTGGATTGAAGAATGATTTGGACAAAAAGATTCCCTCAGTACCTTGCTCACTAGCACCGTATTGGACTTCCTTATCTTGACCATGGATGAGTGACCCTTGACCATCTTGGTCATCCTCCCCTTCTTCAAAAGGAATTGCCCTCAATTCGTCATCATCAAAGTAAGGAGCAAGATCACCAATGTTGAATGTACTTGAGACACCATATTGGCCTCCCAAATCAACTTTGTATGCGTTGTCATTGATCTTTTCCATGACCTCAAACGGACCCTCGGCTCTTGGCATAAGCTTGTTCTTCCTTTTGCTAGGAAAACGTTCTTTCCTCATGTAAATCCACACCAAGTCCCCAACTTCAAAAGACTTCACATTTCGCACTCGTTTGTTGGCTTGTTTCTTGTAGATTTCATTTGCCTTTTCAATGTTTCTTCGAACTTCTTTATGGACTTTAAGCATGAACTCGGCTTGCTCCTTTGCCCCACCATGAACGAACTTGTCTTTTGGCAAAGAAATAAGATCAATGGGAACATAAGGATTGACGCCATAGACTACTTCAAAAGGAGAATACTTTGTAGTAGCACTAGGTGTCCTATTATAAGCAAACTCGGCATGAGCAAGCTTATTATCCCAATCTTTGGTACTTTTGCTCATCAAAGCCCTAAGCAACGAACCAAGTATTCTATTCACCACCTCCGTTTGACCATCAGTTTGTGGATGATGTGAGGTAGAAAACAACAACTTGGTTCCCATCAAACGCCACATAGACTTCCAAAAATGACTTAGGAACTTAGTATCACGATCCGACACAATGGTGCGTGGCACCCCATGAAAACGAACCACCTCTTCAAAATATAACTTAGCCACTTTCATTGCATCTTCAGTTTTATGGCAAGGAATGAAGTGAGCCATTTTTGAGAACCGATCAACCACCACCATTATTGAATCCTTGCCTCTTTGAGTTCTAGGCAAAGCTACAATAAAATCCATACTAACATCTTCCCAAGGTCTTTCGGGAATTGGCAAGGGCTTGTAGAGACCTTTGTGAAACACCATTTTTGCTCTTTGACAAGTAGAACAACGACTCACCACACGATGAACCGTGGCTAACATTTTCGGCCAATAAAAGTGAGCTTGGAGAAGCTCCATTGTCTTGTGAATACCAACGTGACCAGCTAGTCCTCCCCCATGAGCTTCATGTATCAACAAACTTCTAATGGGACATTTTGGAATACATAATCTATTTCCTTTAAAAAGAAAACCATTATGTAAGGAAAACAGATCATAGACTCCATGGACACATTTTTCAATTATCCCCTTGAGTTCATCATCTTCTTGATAATACTCCTTGATCAAATCGAACCCAAGTACCTTTGCTTCAACCATTCCAAGCAAATTATGTCTTCTAGACAAGGCATCCGCAACCACATTAGCTTTCCCACTCTTGTATTTAGAGGAAAAGTTAAATGTTTGTAAAAATTCGACCCACTTTGCGTGTCTTGCGTTCAGCTTCTTTTGACCATGTATGAACCTCAATGATTCATGATCGGAATGCAAAATGAAAGGTTGTGGTCTCAAATAATGTGACCAATGTTCTAGAGCTCTTACCATAGCATAGAACTCTTTGTCATAGGTGGAGTAATTCAACTTGCCTTGACTCATCTTCTCACTAAAGTAGGCAATAGGACGCCCACCTTGAATCAACACGGCACCAATACCTTTTCCACTTGCGTCACACTCAACTTCAAATGGCTTGGAAAAATCAGGAAGTGCGAGAATAGGAGTGTTGCACATTTTCTCCTTGACTTCTTCAAAGGCCTTTTGAGCTTGTGTAGTCCATTCAAACGTCCCCTTCTTAGTACACTCAGTTATGGGAGCCATGAGTGTGCTAAAATTCTTGATAAATCTTCTATAGAAAGAAGCAAGTCCATGAAATGAACGAACTTCCGTGAGTGTCTTCGGACTAGGCCATGATTGAATTGCTTCAATTTTGCTAGGGTCTACCTTCACGCCATCACCTGAAACTATATAGCCAAGAAACATGACTTCATACAATAAAAAATCACATTTTTCTAGTTTCCCATACAATTTTTCTTGTCTTAAAACAGAAAATACTTGAAAAAGATGATCAAAATGAGCTTCTTCATCACGTGAATAAATGAGAATGTCATCCAAGTATACTACCACAAACTTGCCAAGAAATGGCCTTAGCACTTCATTCATTAATCTCATGAACGTGCTAGGGGCATTTGTAAGGCCAAATGGCATGACGAGCCACTCATACAACCCATGCTTTGTCTTGAACGCAGTCTTCCATTCATCCCCTTCTCTCATGCGAATTTGATGATACCCACTTCTCAAGTCTACTTTTGAGAAGACCTTGGAACCACTCAGCTCATCAAGCATGTCATCAAGCCTTGGAATTGGAAACCTGTACTTGATGGTAATGTTATTAACGGCTCTACTATCAATACACATTCTCCAAGTACCATCTTTCTTAGGGACCAACAAAGCAGGAACGGCACATGGACTCATGGACTCACGCACATAACCCATACCCATTAGCTCTTCAATTTGTCGTTGTAACTCCTTAGTTTCTAAAGGGTTACATCTATAGGCTGGTTTATTTGGCAAGGGTGCTCCGGGAATGAGATCAATTTGATGCTCAATTCCTCGTATGGGTGGTAGTCCTTTAGGTAATTCATCCGGAAAAACGTCCTCAAAATCCTTAATCAATTGGGCTAACCTAGGATTATGAGCAACAAATTTTTCGTGGGTTTCCTTGGAGTACAGCATGAACAACTCTCCCTCACCTTCCAACTCCCTCTCAAACTCTTTAAGAGACAACAAGGATACTTCTTTTTGTGGGGTTTGTGATGGTGAAAACCGTGGGGGTGGTAAAGGGTGTAGTTTTTTCTTCCTCCCTTCATGGACTATGGTATACGTATTGTGATACCCATCATGTATAGATTTTTTATCCGTTTGCCAAGGCCTACCAAGTAGAATATGACAAGCATCCATAGACACAACATCACATAATATAGAATCACAATATGAACCAACACAAAAAGAAACCATGCATTGCTTCCTAACCCCGGTGCTAGCATTTGAATTTAACCAACTCAACTTGTAAGGTTGTGGATGATTAGTAGTAGTTAGACCAAGTTTAGATACTAAGGTCTTAGACACGGTATTAGCCTCACTCCCTCCATCAATAATCAAATCACATACCTCGTCACCAATTCTACAACGGGTGATGAAAATGTGTTGGCGTTGGGGGGCAGCATGCTCTTCCACACGTGCTTGCAAGGCCCTCCTAATCACGAGGCTAGTCTTCCCCTCTGGCTCGGCCATGCAATCATCACAATCATCTTCAACTTCTTCTTCCTCCTCCTCAAACTCATCCCAGTTGATGTTTTGAGTGGCCATGAGCTTAACCTCTTGTATGGTTAACGCCCTAGTATTAGGACAATCCTTCTTGTAATGACCTCGTCCTCCACATTTGTAACACACAATGTCACCTAGCTTCACGTCCTTGGTGTCCTTCTTTGGTGGATTACTCGGTCTGTTGAAGGAAGACCCTTCCTTTGTAGGGAAAGAAGGTTTTCGTGCCAATTGAGGGATGGTAGTAGGCTTCTTCTTTTTCCTCTTAGCATCGAACTTAATCACCAATTTGCAAGCTTCAACAAACGTGAGGTTAGTATAACCTTCAAGTTTGTCTTGTAATTCTTGGTCCAAACCAGATACGAAACGCCCCATCTTGAGCTCTTCATTTTCGGTTACTTCACACACAATAGCAAGTCTATCAAACTCTTTTATGTAATCCTCCACAGAGTCCCCATTTTGTTGCAAGGTACTCCACTTCACATATTGACTTTGCTTGTAATTGTGTGGGATGAAACGGTCTTTCATCCGTTTCTTGAGTTTGCCCCAAGTAGAGATAGGAGCTTTCCCCCTAAGGGCACGTCCCCTTTGCTCTCCTTGTAGCCAACTATCACCATAGCCTTTAAGCTTGACTTTGGCAATCTTAAAACGTTGAACATCCTCATGAATGTCCTTATATTCAAAGTACCTCTCCAAGGATTTCTCCCATTCCAAGTACTTCTCTGGATCAAGTGTCCCATCAAAAGAAGGAACGTCCACTTTGAGGCTTCTATCCTCCCTCCTAGGTGGAGGGTCCTCATTTTGATCTCTCCTATCTTGCTCGTTCATGAGCCTTGCCATCAAGGCAGCAAGGTTCCCTTGTAGATTGGCATTGGTTTCGGCCAACCTTTCTTGACTAGCAATGGATCGATTAAGAGCTTCCAACGCTGTCCTTAAGTCCGGGTTTTCTCCCATGGTATGTAGGTATTCGACCCTTAGGAAATGTTTAGAAAAACACCCCCTACCTGACGCGCCAAATGATGTGTAAACAAGATGAGAACCTTGTTACAAAAGTATGTTTTAAGGGGTCTTAGTGAAATCGTGAACAATGAAGGTGAAAATAGGGGAACACTCACCCTAGTTTCGGATATAACAAAGGGGAACACTCACCCTTTGCTTGGTGTAGTTAGGAATAGGGAACACTCAACCCACTCGTTCACTACGCAAGCTCCTAGGTTTGGGAACACTCTACCAAAACTAGCACTCTTCAAATTTGAGCTAACAAACTTGGACCTTAAAAATGACTAGTTACTAAGTCACGTTTAATCAATCAAAACACAAGTGTTTAAGCAAATTTCTGGATACTTTTCATTCATGCATAGCACACTATTTATAGTAGTGTATAAGTTACATAAAGGAACATGGGATTCCTCTTTACAACTTTTAATGATCATCCATCACTTGCCTAATTTAAAAGACAAAATAAGATACTAACTATAAGGTGATTAAAAGGCTCATATAACCGTCCAATTAATCCCTCATAACAACAAAATAAAACTACTCAATTAAGCTTAAAAACTATGCTTAAATTAAAGAGGAAACGTTCAGCAAACATGAAGTCTTCAAAGAGCATCTTCAACGTCCAAGAAACGTGCAAACAGCCCCCTTGAGTCACGCTTGTAACCTCCCATTTAAACCCTTGATTCAAGCTCCTTTATTCCAGCAACAACTCTCTAATTAAGTACAAATAACCCCCAAGTAAAGAGGTAGAATAATCAGCCAACCAATGCCTTAATTCACGCCCAACACAAGCCTTGAATCACGCCTTCATAATCAGTCCAATGTAACTCTCAAATGCATCAATCATGCGTGGCTTCAAGCTTGGAAAAACGACACATTAACTAGATGCCTTCAACAAGATTAGTTACACTAAGAGAAGTGTAACCATTTGTTAAACTCTTTGGACTAAAACCGTGCATTGGATTGAAGAATGATTTGGACAAAAAGATTCCCTCAGTACCTTGCTCACTAGCACCGTATTGGACTTCCTTATCTTGACCATGGATGAGTGACCCTTGACCATCTTGGTCAACAAAGTTATTTGAATCAAATGAGAGTCAAACACTTTTAAACAAAGCTAATTGAATCATATGAAAGTCAAATATGTTCTACAAAGCTAATTGAATCAAATGAAAGTCAATCACATTCAAACAAAGCTATTTGAATCAAATGAAAGTCAAATACATTCTGCATAGCTATTTGAATCAAATGAAAGTCAAATACATTCTACAAAGCTATTTGAATCAAATGAGAGTCAAATACATTCAAACAAAGCAAATTAAATCAAATAAGAGTCGAATACATTCAACAAAGCTAATTGAATCAAATGATAGTTAAACACATTCAAACAAAGCTATTTGAATCAAATGAAAGTGAAATGCATTCTACAAAGCAAATTGAATCAAATGAAATTCAAACACATTCAAACAAAGCTATTTGAATCAAATGAAAGTCAAATTCATTGTACAAATATAATTGAATAAAATGAAAGTCAAACACATTCAAACAAAGCTATTTGAATCAAATGAAAGTCAAATACATTCTACAAAGCTAATTGAATCAAATGAAAGTCAATCACATTCAAACAAAGTTATTTGATTCAAATGAAAGTTAAATACATTCTAAAATGCTAATTGAATTAAATGAAAGTCAAACACATTCAAGCAAAGCTAAATGAATCAAATGAAAGTCAAACACTTTCAAACAAAGCTAATTGAATCATATGAAAGTCAAATATATTCTACAAAGCTAATTGAATCAAATGAAAGTCAATCACATTCAAACAAAGCTATTTGAATCAAATGAAAGTCAAATACATTCTACAAAGCTAATTGAATCAAATGAAAGTCAATCACATTCAAACAAAGCTATTTGAATCAAATGAAAGTCAAACACATTCAAACAAAGCTAATTGAATCATATGAAAGTCAAACACAATCAAACAAACCTAATTGAATCAAATGAAAATCAAATATATTCAATCAAAGCTATATGAATTAAATGAAAGTCAAATACATTCTACAATACTAATTGAATCAAATGAAAGTTAATCACATTCAAACAAAGCTATTTAAATCAAAGGAAAGTCAAACACATTCGAACAAAGCTAATTGAATCAAATGAAAGTCAAACACATTCAAACAAAGCTTTCGAATCAAATGAAAGTCAAATATATTCTACAAAGCTAATTGAATCAAATGAAAGACAAACACATTCAAACAAAGCTATTTGAATCAAATGAAAGTCAAACACATTCAAACAAAGATTTTGAATCAAATGAAAGTCAAATACATTCAACAAAGCTAATTGAATCAAATGAAAGTCAAACACATTCAAATAAAGCTATTTGAATCAAATGAAAGTCAAATACATTCTACAAAGCTAATTGAATCAAATGAAAGTCAAACACATTCAAACAAAGCTGTTTGAATCAAATGAGAGTCAAATAAATTCAAACAAAGCTAATTAAATAAAATAAAAGTAAAATACATTCTACAAAGCTAATTGAATCAAATGAAAGTCAAACACATTCAAACAAAGCTTTTTAATTTAAATGAAAGTCAAATACATTCTACAAAGCTAATTGAATCAAATGAAAGTCAAACACATTCAAACAAAGCTATTTGAATAAAATGAAAGTCAAATACATTCTACAAAGCTAATTGAATTAAATGAAAGTGAAACACATTCAAACAAAGCTAAATGAATCAAATATAGTTAAACACATTCAAACAAAGCTAATTGAATCATATGAAAGTCAAACACATTCAAACAAAGCTAATTGAATCAAATGAAAGTCAAACACATTCAATCAAAGCTATTTGAATCAAATGAAAGTCAAATACATTCTACAAAGCTAATTGAATCAAATGAAAGTCAATCACATTCAAACAAAGCTATTTGAATCAAATGAAAGTCAAACACATTCAAACAAAGCTAATTGAATCATATGAATGTCAAACACATTCAAACAAACCTAATTGAATCAAATGAAAATCAAACATATTCAATCAAAGCTATTTGAATCAAATGAAAGTCAAATACATTCTACAAAAGTAATTGAATCAAATGAAAGTTAATCACATTCAAACAAAGCTATTTAAATCAAATGAAAGTCAAACACATTCGAACAAAGCTAATTGAATCAAATGAAAGTCAAACACATTCAACCAAAGCTTTCGAATCAAATGAAAGTCAAATATATTCTACAAAGCTAATTGAATCAAATGAAAGTCAAACACATTCAAACAAAGCTATTTGAATCAAATGAAAGTCAAATACATTCTACAAAGCTAATTGAATCAAATAAAAGTCAAACACATTCAAACAAAGCTATTTGAATCAAATGAGAGTGAAATAAATTCAAACAAAGCTAATTTAATCAAATAAAAGTAAAATACATTCTACAAAGCTAATTGAATCAAATGAAAGTCAAACACATTCAAACAAAGCTTTTTAATTTAAATGAAAGTCAAATACATTCTACAAAGCTAATTGAATAAAATGAAAGTCAAACACATTCAAACAAAGCTATTTGAATCAAATGAAAGTCAAATACATTCTACAAAGCTAATTGAATCAAATGAAAGTCAAACACATTCAAACAAAGCAAATGAAATCAAATAAAAGTCAAATACATTCTACAAAGCTAATTGAATCAAATGAAAGTCAAACACATTCAAACAAAGTTATTTGATTCAAATGATAGTTAAATACATTCTAAAAAGCTAATTGAATTAAATGAAAGTCAAACACATTCAAGCAAAGCTAAATGAATCAAATGAAAGTCAAACACATTCAAACAAAGCTAATTGAATCATATGAAAGTCAAATATATTCTACAAAGCTAATTGAATCAAATGAAAGTCAATCACATTCAAACAAAGCTATTTGAATCAAATGAAAGTCAAATACATTCTACATAGCTATTTGAATCAAATGAAAGTCAAATACATTCTGCATAGCTATTTGAATCAAATGAAAGTCAAATACATTCTACAAAGCTATTTGAATCAAATGAGAGTCAAATACATTCAAACAAAGCAAATTAAATCAAATAAGAGTCGAATACATTCAACAAAGCTAATTGAATCAAATGATAGTTAAACACATTCAAACAAAGCTATTTGAATCAAATGAAAGTGAAATGCATTCTACAAAGCAAATTGAATCAAATGAAATTCCAACACATTCAAACAAAGCTATTTGAATCAAATGAAAGTCAAATTCATTGTACAAATCTAATTGAATAAAATGAAAGTCAAACACATTCCAAACAAAGCTATTTGAATCAAATGAGAGTCAAATACATTCTACAAAGCTAATTGAATCAAATGAAAGTCAATCACATTCAAACAAAGCTATTTGAATCAAATGAAAGTCAAACACATTCAAACAAAGCTAATTGAATCATATGAAAGTCAAACACAATCAAACAAACCTAATTGAATCAAATGAAAATCAAACATATTCAATCAAAGCTATTTGAATTAAATGAAAGTCAAATACATTCTACAAAACTAATTGAATCAAATGAAAGTTAATCATATTCAAACAAAGCTATTTAAATCAAATGAATGTCAAACACATTCGAACAAAGCTAATTGAATCAAATGAAAGTCAAACACATTCAAACAAAGCTTTCGAATCAAATGAAAGTCAAATATATTCTACAAAGCTAATTGAATCAAATGAAAGTCAAACACATTCAAACAAAGCTATTTGAATCAAATGAAAGTCAAATACATTCTACAAAGCTAATTGAATTAAATGAAAGTGAAACACATTCAAACAAAGCTAAATGAATCAAATAAAGTTAAACACATTCAAACAAAGCTAATTGAATCATATGAAAGTTAAACACATTCAAACAAAGCTATTTGAATCAAATGAAAGTCAAATACATTCTAGAAAGGTAATTGAATCAAATGAAAGTCAATCACATTCAAACAAAGCTATTTGAATCAAATGAAAGTCAAACACATTCAAACAAAGCTAATTGAATCATATGAAAGTCAAACACAATCAAACAAACCTAATTGAATCAAATGAAAATCAAACATATTCAATCAAAGCTATTTGAATTAAATGAAAGTCAAATACATTCAACAAAACTAATTGAATCAAATGAAAGTTAATCACATTCAAACAAGGCTATTTAAATCAAATGAAAGTCAAACACATTCGAACAAAGCTAATTGAATCAAATGAAAGTCAAACACATTCAAACAAAGATTTCGAATCAAATGAAAGTCAAATACATTCTACAAAGCTAATTGAATCAAATGAAAGTCAAACACATTCAAATAAAGCTATATAAATCAAATGAAAGTCAAATACATTCTACAAAGATAATTGAATCAAATGAAAGTCAAACACATTCAAACAAAGTTATTTGATTCAAATGAAAGTTAAATACATTCTACAAAACTAATTGAATTAAATGAAAGTCAAACACATTCAAGCATAGCTAAATGAATCAAATGAAAGTCAAACACTTTCAAACAAAGCTAATTGAATCATATGAAAGTCAAATATATTCTACAAAGCTAATTGAATCAAATGAAAGTCAATCACATTCAAACAAAGCTATTTGAATCAAATGAAAGTCAAATACATTCTACATAGCTATTTGAATCAAATGAAAGTCAAATACATTCTACAAAGCTATTTGAATCAAATGAGAGTCAAATACATTCAAACAAAGCAAATTATATCAAATAAGAGTCGAATACATTCAAAAAAGCTAATTGAATCAAATGATAGTTAAACACATTCAAACAAAGCTATTTGAATCAAATGAAAGTGAAATGCATTCTACAAAGCAAATTGAATCAAATGAAAATCAAACATATTCAATCAAAGCTATTTGAATCAAATGAAAGTCAAATACATTCTACAAAACTAATTGAATCAAATGAAAGTTAATCACATTCAAACAAAGCTATTTAAATAAAATGAAAGTCAAACACATTCGAACAAAGCTAATTGAATCAAATGAAAGTCAAACACATTCAAACAAAG